AGAGAGAGATGGCATTCGTCCAACCCTCTCCTCCCCTGTCTCTTATACACATCTAGATGTGTATAAGAGACAGGAGAGAGAGAGAAGGTGTCGAACACTTCTTGTGAAGGTTGACGACCGTGGCAGCTTATGCGATTTATGATTTCTTTTTGTACTAGCTGGGCGAGGTGGGCTAGCGGCAAGGGGAGGATGTTTCTATTTCTAGTCTGGGCGCCTATTGATCAGTGGTAGCTCCCGTGAATGTGCTACTCGGTGGGTCGCATTGACTTGTTATTCCCGACGCACTTTCGCTCGACTCTCTGTGTGTGTTCCTGCAAGTAAAGCAAGAAACAGTAATTCCGTTTGTGGGAAAGGTTGCATGTTTAAGTTGTTGATCGTGATTATGACGGCGGGGCACTGAGCGGCATGCACGAGCGAGGAATTGCGTTAGTGAGGGGCCGAATGTGTGTCGCATTTTGTGACGAAGAACTGCGTGGCAGGAGTTGGGACGGTGATCGGTGTAGCAAGTGACGTGGAAAACGGGAAGCGCACGTGGAAGAGGACGATAGGGCGAGGTGCAGGATTCTCCCTTCCCGGAAGAGGACGATAGGGCGAGGTGCAGGATTCTCCCTTCTCGCTTTATATGGTGACCGCCGAATGCTCGTGTTCCGTCTCCCTCTCCCTAGTTGCGTGCACATGCATGCTGTCGTATCCTCCAGCTCACAACATATAGTGTGTGTGTGTCTTGCCTATTTTCCTCCCTTCTGTTTAGCGGGCTGCTACTTAGGGATTTTGTTCAATGTCAGATAGATAGGTACAAGGGAAGAGAGAGAGAGAGAGAGAGAGAGAGAGAGAGAGAGAGAGAGAGAGAGAGGCGGGGGAGCAATGCGCGGTTAAGGCGGTGACGAAGAGGGGGGGGAGAGGGCGGCGGGCGACGGGGCGGAATGCCGGGTTGGGGCTAGGACGAGGATCCTATTCTAGTCGGTAGGGGAAAGGTGAGTGGAGAAGTCGTGGGGAAAGTGGAGGGCGCGAGGAATCGTCTGCACGGGGTAGATATCGCAGTGTACGTTAGTGGAAGCGCGGGAGAACTGGGTGGCGGCGGGTCAAGATGTCGTGTGTTTATGTCGGGAACCTGGATCATCGAGTAACAGAGAGAGAGTTAGAGGACGAGTTCAGAAGGTTTGGGGTTCTGAGAAGCGTTTGGGTGGCCAGAAAACCGCCGGGGTTCGCGTTCATAGAGTTTGACGATCCTCGGGATGCTGATGACGCCATTCGAGCATTGGACAACAAGAATGGATGGAGAGTGGAGTTGTCGAGGAGCTCAGGAGGGAGAGGGCCTAGAGGACGTGGGAGGGATGGTATGGGATGTTACGAGTGTGGAGAAAGGGGGCATTTCGCGCGGGAATGCAGGTTGAGAATTGAGCGAGGACCAGGAGCAGGTGCGGGAGGCGGCCGGAGTCGTAGCCCTAGATATCGACGCAGTCCTAGTTATGGTGGTGGTGGCCGACGGCGGCGGTCTCGTAGTCCGAGCTATGGCCCTTACGGCGGTGGTCCTGCACCCATTGGCAGTGGAGGAGGACAGCCGTTTGGGGGTGGAGTGGGCGCAATGAGAGGTCGCAGCCCTCCCCGCCGAAGTGGTAGTCCTCCTTTCTCCGGTGGAGGCATCAGAAGGTACGGGGGCCGGAGCCCGAGTCCCTTGAGAGGACGTGGCGGAAGGGGGGGGGTTGGATTCGGTGGTGGGCGAGGCGATGGGGATCTCAAGGGCCGCAGTCCCAGTTTCGATAAGCGACGACTCAGCCCTAGCCCTGCGTATGGAAAGAGGAGGAGATACAGCCGTAGTCCCAGTCCTGGAAGAGCTCGCAGCAGAAGTCGCAGCCCGCCGCCCGTGCGCGTAGATCTTCCACGTGGCGAATTCAATAATGGAAATGGGTTTGAGAAGTCAACACGTAGCCCCCGGCGCAACAGCCGCAGCCCATGGAGGAGAAGCCCCTCCCCTGTCCCTCGCCGCAATAGGAGCTTCAGTCGTTCTCCTCCGCTTTTGGGTGGAGACCGACGACGGAGTCCCAGCCCTGGCGTTTGAACTTTGCTTACCTTGATTCGACATTGACTTTGACTTCGACTTGACGATGCTCGCCTACACAGACCCTCACTTCCTACTCTTGCCTGCCTTGTTCGCGATCACGTCTTTTTCCCCTTTATCTCACTCGCACACTATTAAACCCCTCATATCCGCTGCGGCTGTCAGATAACGCGTTTCTTCTTGTTCTGCGAGCTTCTGTCGCTGGTCTCTTCCTCTTACTCCTCCCTCCGCCGCCCTTCCATCGGCACTTGAGATTGGTCCAACCCCCCCCCTCCCTCCCCGCCCTGTCTTCCTCCGGTCCCACTCCGCTAGCAGCGGGAAATCGTCGAGAAGCTCGTCTACTCTCTCACCCATTCCCAGTTTCCCAAGCCTCCCACCTCTTTGCGCGTCCCCGTGCTGTTTGCTTCGGTACTCTGATCAATAGAAAGCTTTCTCTGGTGCCATGCCCGTGCACTCATTCCTCGAAAAGCGAACTAGAGAGAGAGGCTGCCTGCTTGTTTCGTTGGCGAGTGGCCGGCTTCCCAGAGAGAAGGTACATCAAGATGTAATGTGATAGAGAGCAGAAGAAGAGGAAATGTACTCCGAAGAGGAGAGATAGAGAGCGTGCTGCAGAATGAAGCAGAGAGGGTGCAGATATGGCTGCTTTGAGTAGCCGTTGCGTACCACCGATCGATGCGGACGAGGAGCCGAAGGAGCAGGAGACTGGCGTGTTCTTATAATTCTCGTCGAATTTTTGCCTTTTCTGTACCTCGGCAGGTGAGTTCTGTCCTACCTTCTCCTACAGGGCATGGTGCTGTTTCACACGCTCATTCTCACTGATCCTTCTTGGTGGAATTGTCTTTCCTTTTCTGCCCTGCTTGTATCTGTTGTCAGTGGAGTAGCATTTGTGTTATAGTTGGCCTAACAAGATATCCACGAAAATGCTGTCATTTGTCGTATGATTTAATAATAATTCTCATTTTAGTATTGTGCGCGTTTCGACATGCGAATTAACTATTTCTGTAGCGTGAACTGCGTTTCTTTTATTTTCCACGAATTTCTTAGTTTCCGTCACGATGCCATCGTTTTTTTCTTCTCCTCCTCCCTCCTTTTGAGACCGGTTGATATACGTTTTTGTTCCCACCACACTTAACCCTAAAACTGCGTGGTTGGTAGTGTGAGATTGATGGCGATACTCTTCTTATCGTTGGCAGCCCTATTGTAGTAGTCTCGAGCATCCCATCGTGGATGAGAGCACTACCTCCTTTTTGGATTTTTTCTCTCTAGTCGACGCCGGCAGTACAGTAATCCTTCAGTTCAGTCGGAGTCATGGTCAGTAGCAGTTGTAAATTTTCTTCGTTTCCAAGTCCACCAATCTCTGTTTTCGAAACGCGGATCGTAGAGTGGACGGGTCGATAAGAGACTACGTCTTCCCCCGAACACAACGCACCCTTATTTTGGCTGTATCTGGCCTGAAATATAGCCTGTATGCATTCATTTTTAGGGTGCGTTATGTTCGGGGGAAGACGGCAGGAAGGTTGACGAAATCAGGGGTTCTTTACTGTTGTGGAACCGGAAACAGATCCGAAAAAGAGACTAGGAAGGGTGACGAAATCGACCATTTGCTTTCTGAAAGGCTTGTGCTCAATGCAATAAAAGAATGGAGGTTGTTCTTGCTCTCCCCCCACCACGCTACCGTCTTCCCCCGAACACAACGCGCCCTCATTTTGGCTATATCTGGCCGGGTCGACCATTTACTTTCTGAAGGGCTTGTGCTCAATGCAATAAAAGAATGGAGGTTCTTCTTGCTCTASCCCCACCATGCTACCGTCTTCCCCCGAACACAACGCGCCCTCATTTTGGCTATATCTGGCCGGAAATATAGCTTGTATACATTCATTTTTAGGGTGCGTTATGTTCGGGGGAAGACGGTAGGAGGAACGTTTTTCCTGTACCCCTTCTCGGTGTCCGGCCTCTGGCTAATTACTAAAGAGACGTTGTTTGACACACATGCGTCTCTCGCATGTACATGCGTGGTGTCACCGTGCAGCGCAACTCTCGTATTGCTAACAAGTAAGTCGTCACAGGGGTAGTGTTTCACGTCCTGTGGCGAGCACCCTTGGGAGGGCGGGACATGTTCGGTGAAAGCAGGGTTTTGTTCTTTTTTTTTCAGATTGCTTCGGCTGGCTTTCACGTACTTCAGAAGCTGGCTCCACAACGCGCAGCAGATGCATTCTTTTTCTTTTCTTTTTGTTTTATTAGAACCAGGTACTGGACTGTTCGATTAGTCTTTTTTTTCGCCCAATTTCGACGAAAGATTTGCACGCCAGTATTGCTGCGAGCCTCCACTAAAGTTTACTCTGGCCTCGCCCTGCGTCGCGCAATCCGCCCTGCGTCTTGTCAAGGTTTCCACATCTCTTAGGGCCGACTGACTGACTCAATGTCCAAGCGCTCGCTGGTGGAAGAACCCTTGTCCACTTGGGTCTTCAAAATTCTCATTGAATATTTGAAGTGCTTTTCTTGGCCGCGGGTTTGTGACCACTTGGGGCTCTTCAAAATTCTCATTTGAATATTTGAAGTGCTTTTCTTGGCCGCGGGTTTGTGAAGTAACACGGGCCCTCGCTCCAGCACTCACCACATGCACAAAAGTCATAAATTATGGTGGTGTATCTTTCTATGTTTTAGAGGAAGATTCATTCTTCGTTTTGCACATGACCTGGTGGAGTGCGACCCAAGCGCGTATCGTATCGTAATGGGTGTGCCATTCTTTACCATAAGTATGGTGGTGTATCTTTCCATGTTTTAGAGGAAGATTCATTCTCGTTTTGCACATGACCGGGTGATTCTTCCTACCCTTCTCGCCGCTGTCCTTCGCAAGTAGTCAAGTGCTTAGCTTGCGTCCAAGATGGAAAAAGAGGAATGTCTTTTTGACATCAAATGAACGGAAAATTCGGATTTGTTTGTTAGCTGTACTGTACTTTACCATGGTCAGTAAGCAGTTAAAGCAAAGCTTAGGGCGCTCGTGAACAATCAAAATCTCTTACAGGCGGCGATAAATGTGCACCCTGTCAGCTACCGCCTTCACCGGAATTGAACGCCCTTTTATTATAGCTGTATTTGGTGCAGCTTTCAGACCAGATACGGCAATAAATGCCGGGCGTTCTATTCGGGTGAAGACGGTAATCTGTGGTCTACAAAAGCTACGTTAGCGTCGATTGTTTCCGAAATGGGTTCCTCGTTCAGGTCTGCTTGGAGCTGTCGTCTTCCCCCGAACACAGCGCGCCCCGGTTTTGCCTGCACCTGACCAGAAAGATCGCTTGTATACTGTCAGAATCAGGGTATGTTATGTTCGGCGGAAGACGGTATAGCGTTTGGATCTCAAATGAGCTCATCGTTCACGTCTCATATTGGCCAATTGAATTTGGCCCTCAGCTGAGGGCACTGGTTTGCTGATCGAAAACCCTCAATGGAAGGAAGGAAGGTGTTGGTGGCGTTGGCTACTGTCGTCACCCAAGTAAACCGTCCGGTCATTGCAGCTGTATTTGGTGCGCCTTTTCAGTCCAGATGCGGTGATAATGACCGGGCGTTCTATTCGAGTGGAGACGGTAGTTAGTGACTTGGTCGGTTGGCTTTTTGCTTTTTCTACGGAACGAAGCACAGCCCGCAGAACCCTAACGCGATTCCTAGGTCATTTTATTTCAATGAGACCGTACTACCGACCGTCTTCCCACGAATAGAACGGAAGCGTGCGGTCATTACGGCCGTATCTAGGCTGAAAGTTGTCCCAGATGCAGCTATATTAAGCGTGTGTTCTACTCGGGGGAAGACGGTAGTTTTGCCTTCCGGCGGATTGCGGGTCTCAGTGTGATGGTCGCTAAATAAACGGGAGAGGAGGGCAGTCGGGGGGGGGAGAATCAATTTCTTGGCAGGATGCAAACCGAATGACGACATGTCCAGTTCCACTTCCGTCCTTTTTTTTTTTTTTTTTTTTTTTTTTAGGGCGATGGCCCTGTCTCTTATACACATCTAGATGTGTATAAGAG